ACCTGTCAGGGATGGTCTAGGTTTACTTGGTCCTGCCACAGCACAGGGGGCTGGACTAGATGACTTCCTGAGATCCCTTCCAGCCCTATATTTTTATTATTTAATGTAAACGATAACGCAGGTAAACAAAAGATTCTTAGAAGAAATGAGAGGCAATAATGACAAGTGGAGTTACAGTAGACAAAACTGACAAGTGACTATGTATTGTACAGCTGAAGGTAAACATAAAACCCTTGAGTGAGAAAATGTGAGGCTAAAAAACAAAACAGTCACTGGGCTACTATGAGCATTTAGAAGATTTAGAAAATTGGTCAGGTAAAAATGACATAAGATTATTTGTTATGAGGCTGGAATATGTGATCCTGCCTGATTTAGTTTTCCTGCAGAGCATGATTAAAGATGTACTGCAGATTATAGTAGCAGATAACCTTAGGAGTGCTGAAAGTGCATGCGGAATACCAAATTAAAAACCAGAACTGGGCAGTGATTCTAGACAGATTACTCAACATTATCATGGAGTCACAGTTGTGTCTCCATAACTGTATGACCTATTTCTTCTAAGACCTATATTTAATTATGTCATGGGTTTTTTTTAAATGTCCTGAATATAAGAATTTGGAGAATGAGTACATGTGTACTCAAGGATGGACTGAAAGATATTTTGCAGAAACAAAGGATAAATCATTTTATAAATAATATGAACTTGGTTGAGAGAGAGGAAATGTTATGGGGGAATTCAAAGTGTTTATGGGACAATTTTGTTAGCAGATGAGCATGGAATTGATCAAGCTAATACAATATTAGATGCTAAGACTGAAAAACAGTTTAGCGAAATAGAACATAAAAATTCCTGAAAAGGTGTATCATTAATATTTACTAAATGTATGTTACTGGGTTCAGCATTGTTGGTGTATGTGAAGATTTGGAAAAGTCCATGGAATCTCCATATGAATCCATGGAATCTCTAGATGCATATCCTAAAATATAATGCCTTAGTGTTCCCTTTCTGATGATTGTGGGGAGGATATACCATAATATGGCTGGATCAGGCATATAATGTGGCAGGGTCTTCAGCAGCCTACTCTTAAGGGATTCTTGAAACACAAAGAAACAGGAACAGAGACTTATGGGGAAGATGAGAGAAGTTCCTGTCGAGTCAGTCTGGCTTGATGTAGTGAGAGAAAGAAGAAAACTACAGCTGTGGATTTTAACCATTACAAGCACTTAACCTTTGCAATCCAGCCTTGTCTGGCAAGGATCTGTACAATCCCTGTTTAGATAAGAGTAGAGTTTATGCTCTTTTTTCTTAGTTTTATCAGTTTCTTCTCTCTCCTATACAAACAGTGTCTGGTTTAAATGCAACTGTCATTGGGATCAGACTGGTGAATTTGACATAATGGGCTCAAGTTTCATCTCTGTTTCAGAGGTATCACTAGAGACAGCCATGCAGCCACACAGACTCTCCCCAGTTCACTATCAGTTAACCCAAGAGGAACCAGGAAACTCATTGCTTCCTCTGATGTTAAATTCTCACTACACAATTGTAAAATAGGTGAAGTCTGTACCTGTGTTATTGAAATGGTGAGAGGAGTGGGGCAGCCACATTGATGGATGCTCCTCCTCAGGGGAAGTGGATACTTTTGCAGCTGTGGAGCTGAAGCACATGGAACTGTAGGGAGGTCCCTGCTTATTTTTACATAGGATTGGATCCACAGGGAAAGTTAGCTCCTTATATGACAAATTGAAAAATGAACTATATTGCAAAGCATTGCTGTCAACTTTATTTATTTTATCCTTCAAAACATAATATGGATTTTGTTAACTATGCCTCTAACGTGCCATGGTATTTATTAAACACAATTTTCCAAATATAGGTAAAAATCACTTCTTGGAGAGTGGAAAGAGTTACCATATTAGTATAAACTCTGATCATGCAAAGAACATAATCTATAGAGTTTATTTAATATAATCTAGGAGTCTACAGTTATGAACACATTATTCACCATTAGGTGCAATTAAATACCAGCCTAGTGGCTACCTCTATATCAGTATGAACATTTCTACACCATATGAATTACATTGGAGAATTGAATGAGATTGTCTCTTTTCTCCCAGCTTTATTGCCATGGTCACAAAAACTCTTGCAGCAATGATTAGAGCAGAGCATATTGCTTAACAATGGTATAACAACTGGGGATATTCCTAATATAATATCACTATGTGCTGATGATATTTTGAAATCTATTTTCAAGGTCAGCCAGATTTTGGATAAAACATTGGATACAATTAAGGGACCTGGTTATTTACCTTGACTGTTTATTAGCTGCTCCAAATGGAAAGTATTTCCTTTAACTAATGTTATAGTGGAGAATGTCACCTTTATCTTCTAGAGGAGTCACAGGATACCAATTAAATATTTAGGGATTAAGATGCAGTGTAATGAACACGATGGGTAAGAATAGAATGTATTCGGTTAGCAAAGAAAATAAGAATTTTGGATCAAATCCAGTTTCACTAATCAGTAGGTCTAGTTTAATAAAAAAATTGAGAATTCTGTCTAAAATTTTATACCTCTTCATACCTTATACGAATGTTTAGTACCTCTTTTGCTTGAACAAAAAAGATTGAATACTATACGAAGCATGTTATGTTTCCATGCACAGAGAGAGAAAAACATGTACTTGCAGTTATTAATTATTATTATTTATGTTTTGGATTTCAATAGCACTGAAGAGCCCGTTATGTTAGGCATCTAAAGTGACTTATCTGAGATTAAAATAGACAACAATCAGAAAGAACAAAAGTAAAGTCTCAAGGAGAGAGCACAGTATCTCTATCTTCTGTTGCAGGCTGTCTTGAGAAGAAAGCTCTCTCTCCAAGAGGGAGAGGGATAGTCTCCATTTAGACATGCAGTGTACCTTTTCATTGCTACATATTTTACAAAGCAGACCCAATTTATGTTGTAAGGATATCCTCAGATTAAGTTTGCTCTGTAGCAAAGAGGGTGTTTGCCTTCATGAAGTTTAGAACATATTTTGGCTAGCCAAATGAAACATGCTATATAACAATGTGACATAATGTCACTGTCACACTGTCTAGAGTGGTTCATGACTGTGAATGCCAACCTTAAGGCAGATTGTCAGGAAGCAGGGCAGACACCCCAAACTGGTGGTATGTTCTATGATTAGATTTCACCAATCCCATAACAAATGTGAACTCCTGAAGCACTATAACAGTCTTACCATGGAGTCACAAAAGTCCCCTTGGGCATTCCAGTCTATCTTGCCACCTGGACTTAGTGATAGCTGGTTGCTATATATATTAAAGATCACAAAATATTCAGGTTGCTTTCAGTCCCAAGAGACCAGTCATTTACCCCAAGTCAATTTGGATCTTGGATTTCTCACCAAAGACAACATTTGTAGCAATCCTCTAATAAATTAACTAAAGATTTATTAACCAGGAAAAAGAAATTTGAGTTTTATTATAAGGTTAAAGCAGGCAAACGTATATACACAACTGAGTTACAGTCTGTGGTTTTAAAGGGTGACAGAATTGTAGTAATCTGTCAGCTCTGAATATCTTTTAGGGCTAACACAGGTTCTGCTTCTGTTTCATAAATCCAGCCCTAAGAGAGTCCAAACAGCAAAAGAGATGAACATTTTTATTGTCAATTATTTTTATTTCCTTCTTCCAGGATTCAAGTTGATGGGACAAGCACTTTTGCATGTAGTCTCTTCATGGGTGTGAAAGGGCAATTCAAGTCTTTGTATTATGATGTCCCACAATGGCCCATTTAGTTTTGATATGCCTTCTTGAGGGTTAGGAGATGATCCCTCCTGACTGGGTTCACAATTTCAGAGCAAACATTTTTTTTACAGTCATAAAGCAAAAACTTAAATATACCTTGTAGCATGTGATAAAGATATAAGTGAGATTAATGTATGCAGCAACTTACAAGCATTTCATGAACACTAAACACATTGTTATAAGCTCAATACCCATCTTAACCATAATAACACAGAGATGAAATAGACTGGTTTGCAGCAATGAATTGGTAAATGCTCAGCTGAGGCACTTGGCAAGAGCTGGCACCTGGTCTGCCAGCATGAGAGTCACTACAGATAGGCAAACAGGTTCAGTTGAAATAGGAACTGATCTGAGTCTTTTCCCATCCCTCAAAACAAACTGAATCAAACCCTTGTTGACATTCCAGTTATATTACTTCCTGCTTCATCCTACTCAGGGGTGTGCTAGTCAAAAAGGGAAGAAATAGTCCATTGTCACCTTCTGCTGGATTGTGGACTTGTCATATGAGGAGGCAGAGGTGTGGGCATAGGGAAGGGCAGTCTTCCTCAAGAGTAGGAGTGCTGATAGAAGCAGGGCATGGTCCTTTTCCAAGATACATGGCAATCTAGAGGTAGGGTGCAATTTAGAAGCATCCCCCAATTTGGAGCAGGGAGAAGGCTGAGAAGGCTTCTGACTAGAGGAGTGGAACTGGAGGATGTGGGGGCAGGCCTCTCCCCCAAATACAGTATTGATGATGCCCAGCTTCCCTTGAAGAATTCTGCTGCTGCTGCCACAGGGAAAGGGGAAGCCATGCCCACAAATATAGGTGAGGTCAGCTCCACCAAAGGTTCACTTAGGCCAGGTCTACACTACCGCGGTAGTTCGACGGCTGGCAATCGAAGTTCCGGGTTCGATTTATCGCGTCTGGTCTGGACGCGATAAATCGAACCAGGAAGTGCTCGCCGTCGACTGCGGTACTCCAGCTCAACAAGAGGAGTACCGCGGAGTCGACGGGGGAGCCTGCCTGCCGCGTGTGGACCGCGTCTGAACCGCGGTAAGTTCGAACTAAGGTATGTCGACTTCAGCTACGTTATTCACGTAGCTGAAGTTGCGTACCTTAGTTCGAATTGGGGGGTAAGTGTAGACCATGCCTTAGTTTGGATAAGTTTCAGATAATCAAAACTATAAAGCTTTGTAAGTTCCTTCCTTACTAATAACAATCTCAGTACATTTAATATATAAACATTAGACCTGGTTTGAAAAAAAACAACAACAAAATTCCATTTTTTTCAAAATATTGACAACTTATTTTGAAAAGTGCAATATTCCCATTGGCTTTAATACAAATAAAATAAGAACTGACATCCTGCAGTAATGCATCTTTTTATCCCTATGGGAAAGTGTTTGATTGGAAGGGTACCAGCTTCTCTATGATTATAAGTGCATTTATCATTTATTGAAGATTATTGAATAGCTAAAGATGAATCATCTGTGTGTGTATCACTGATGCCGATATAGGTTAATCCTCATCTCCCAATGAGTTTGAGAAGGCAGAAATTGAGATTTAACCAGATGAACTCTCATGATCCAAGAGTAGTATATTAATAACCTATTGTGTCCTCTCTCTAACAGCATATTAGAAATATTGTATTAAAAAATTAAGAAAGACTTGCCACAAAAACTGTATTAATACAAATCTTTCAGAGAATGACAGGTGGGAAATGTGTAGTTTGTGCCCAGAATTGAGAAATAACTAATTAGATTTATAAGTGAGGGGATTCTCCCTACTAATTGGGCAATGCAATAAGCTTTACAAGAGAAGAGTAATTCCACTGAAGTCATTAGGACTCCTCATGAGAGAAAGGACAATACTTTATTTGTATGCGTAAGAGCTGCAGATTGGATTTGAAGGGTTAGATCCTGGTCTGCAAGTCAACGGAGCTACAGCAGTTTAGACCTGCTATGGATCTGGCCCTTACATTTATATGGAAACTAAAAGTGGGCCTAAATTAGAACACCCCAGCTAAATAATCTCTGGGTAAATTCAAAGTTAGAGTAGATTCCATATCCAAACGTCACAAATCAGATCTTGAGGACAGATTGGCAGTTAAAGAGTAGCATTGGAAGTCAGCAGATGTGGGTTCTGTACCCAGTTCTGCCTCAAACTTTCTGTGTGACCTCAAGTGAGCCATTTAACAATCCGTGCTTCTGTTTCCCAACCTACAAAATGAGGATAGTAATACATGTTACTTACCTCGGGGAATGCAATAAAGGTTCATTAATTGATACTTGTAACATGTTTTGAGATCTTCAGATGGCAGGTACTATAGAAGTACAAAGCATTAATAGAAACATGATTTTAAAAGTTGTAAAACTAACAGCTTGATCCTATTATGATTAAAACTGTGGGGAAAATTCTCGATTTCACTAGATGCAGAATTTGGCCCAATATGAGGCAGGATCACAGGCCTAATTGCAAAAAATAAGTCCCAGATCTCCATATATACAAACATACATAAAGCATTGTAATACAGTAGGTACAGAGTATACACTAAAAATGCAAATAAACATGACTTCTAAATGACACCCTTATTTAAAGTGGTGCCCCTAGATGTCATATAAATATTGTTACTTTTCTGCATACTGTTAGGAATGCACTTATACATAAAGTTTTTGGAATGCTGTGGTTAATAATTTTGGTTTATTACCAAAATGAGTATTGATTTATCGCTTTGAAATTTGGTTTATTACAAATTAGTACTAAAAAAAAAAGATGTTGAATGTTCTATTTTCCCTGCTTTTCTGTGGTAAGCTTGTACTTTGTGATATTAACAAATACATTTAAAATGTTAAAATTCACACCATTCAAACTGCAGGTATGAATAGGTACAGCTTTAAATGTTTTCCTTGATCATTACTGACATTAATTTCTCTTGTAAAAGATAATGAACTCCAGGTTTTTTTTTTTTGGTCATCATATTCCAGTTATAATTTAACGTAGTGCCCTAATGATTGGCTTGAAGCAGGCTGCAGAGTCCCCCCAAGCAGAGACTTATTTCTCAGTAAGTATGCTTATATATGAAGAATTTTAGGCAAATTAATTTTCTATGTAGAACTGCAATCCAAAAGGTCTACTTAGTGGAAAATGAGGATCAATAATTCTAAGCAGAAGCAAATTGGTTTATGGCACCACTTCAATTTTCTAATGGTTCTAATGTAATAGCTGAATAACAAAGTTGTTTCATATTGTGTATTGCTGTATGTTCTCATTACAGTGCACTGTTCATGTTTTTGCACCATTGATTGCTGACATCAATTCCAGGGGACATGTTACACCAAAAAAAAAAAAAAAAAAAAAAAAAAGGTCATGTGATAACTTCTCATACATTTTACCAACATTTCAGGAGGGATGAAGATCCATTATGCTAACTGAATTTATGCCCTGAATTTAAACTGATGCAAACTGATAGTAACAACAACACCTATTACCATGCACTTCATTGGTGTTATTGCCATTCTATTAATACTATTCTGCAGCATTGTGTGGTGACAGGAATGTATTGGGGTCAGCACTGTAGTTATCATGAGCTCTTTCAGAAGACTTCTCTATGTATATATAAGCAGAGCATAATTTTTCAAAGAATTCTCTTAATATTTTACTATGTTGAGTATGAATAATTTAAAATTTAAAAATACATTTCCTTTTGTTATTATCAAATTATCCAGTAAAAGTTTTTAATTTTGTTCTTAATAGTTTTCATGGTTTAGGAATTTAATTTAATCAAACGTTCATTAAAACAATAATTACAGCAAGGTTCATCAGCCAACACATAGGTGCTGCCGAATCATCAGTGTGCTGTTCCTTCAAAATAGTTATGCTTCAAATTATGATGCAGACATTTCTCCAGAACATCCCATATTTTCTATAAATCTGCATTTATTGGTCTGTCAGTCACAGATGCAATGGAAAATTATTTAAACATCTCTATCATTTTAACTATATTTTAAATTTTAGCTCTTTTAAAAATGGGTTAGAAGTTTCAACAGATTGATCTTTTGGTTATTAATTCATCTACAAACAGTCAGTTCCTCACAGAATTAACTGAAAGGACATTCTTGTTATCAGTGGGTCATCTCTATTGCCTAGAGAAGAAAGATGGTCCTGTGGTTAAGGCACTGGGCTGAGATACAGGGGAATTAGTTCAAAACTCTGCCACAACTTCCTGTATAACCATGGGCAAGTCATTTTATCTCTCTGTACCTCAGGTCTCCATTTGTAAAATAGGGGTAATAGTACTTGCCTTCTCCCACAGATTGTCTGTCTTGTCTATTTATATTGTAAATTCTTTTGGGCAGGGACCATTTGTACTGTGCCAGCACAATGTGACCCCAATCTTGGTTGAGACCTCTAAGTTGCTAACATAATAGTAAGAAAGAAAAATAAATAACTAGTAATCTGACAAGAGAGACTGTAATTTGCTTTGGATAATTGAAAAACTACTGACTGGATATTCAGTGCTCAAATCAGAGGGGTGAAGAAAGACAATAAAGTTCAAATTCATTCTTGCTGAAACTCCAAGGATAAAATTGGTCCCATAACTGCCAGCTCATTTTATATCCCCACTTCCCAAATGCTCAAGACTTATGGGAACATGTCTCACCCATGTTGTTGTATCGTAAAGCATAGCCCAGGGTGCTCTGGGACATCTCTCAGCCCCAGCATTAGAGGAGTCGTGGTATTAGAGTACGTTGGGAGCAGGATTCTTTCATTTCCTGCAGCTGCAGAAAGTGGGTACAAACAGGCTGTTCATAACCTGGCAGATACCAGAGCTGGCCTTAACATACTTGCCTAGACATTCCAGAGAAGAAGGAGACCCCCCTGGAGGCCTCTGAAGAACCCAGGAGGGCATATTTAGCGACACTTGGGTCTCCCCCTGAGAAGACAGCTCAAGTCAAGTGGGGAAGAGGGATGGGGTATCTGGGCACTGGGTACATTAAACTTTCAAATTCAAATTTCAAAGTGAAGCTGCGGATTGTGAAACCCAGTATAGCAAATTTGTCTGTATTAATCACTAATACTCATCCAAGGAAAACCCAGTGTGTTTGGTGTAAACCTCCGTTGCACCTCCAGAGTACTGCACTGGCAGGTCTGTCAGTATTTAAATTACCATCTCCTTTCAGGGTTTTCTAACAGCACTATTTTAAATAGTAAAGTAGAAACTTCACACACTAGTTTTCTTTAGCTCATCCCTTGTCAAGATACCTTGACCAGATACACAGCAAACCATGCATTGAAGCACCACAATGTGGTGAGAAACTTGCACTACCCAGTGCACCACATAGAGACATTCTTTGGCTCTATGTTTTTTGTTTTTGTTGCTATGAGTCAGAACCACTAATTAACAGCAGTTTTTACTATTTGAGATGTTTTACAGTGTTGCAATGCTGTTTTTCATCTTGGACTTAGTGTAGTACAGTGCCAGCCAAGAATAACAATTTGCTACTTAACATGTCCAGTTCTTATTTGAACTGGAATGTTATATCCGTTTTTCAAACAATGGTGACAACACCTCTATTAAAAATTGGGGCCCAAATCAGTAAAAAGGGTCACAGGCATCAGCAGTAAGTCAACTCACTAAGTCTTTCCCTTTTAGTACACTCCTCATACCATCCCGCTACCCATACTGAACAAGGTGCCAGAGTTCAGGTGTACCCCTGGGAAGTGTGCCCATTTACACTCACAACAGCTATGGTATAGAAGGAGGAATCTCTCTCTCTCTTTGAAAAGCCACATGAAAATTCATGACCACAGCGTTACGGAGATATTACTCATTGTTTTAAAAACAAACACAGAAGAATAAGCTGCCATTTCAGAGCTTTGAAAGGCTGGATAATGGCCACCAAATATTAGGTATCATTAATTAGGTTATCAGAGGGGTATCTATTCTTTCAGTACTGCAGAAGAATTAAATTTAGCTGTTCTTCTCTCTTTGTGTACAGGATTAGCACATGCAACTCCCACTGGCATTAACAGGAATTATCAAAGTCATGGGTTAACCATCAGCTTTCACTGGACTTTTCTTTCTGTATATGCATTGTGTAGCAAATGTATGGATCAGATGTACAAAATATCATTCGACTTTTAGTTGGGAGTGCAGGAGGAGAGATGGGGGCAGGAGAGGGGCCAGGTAGGAAAGTGAGAAGTTGAGATTTTCATTTTTCTAAATTGCAATACCATGGATAGAGAATAGCATAGAGCAGAGCCTTAGGCCTTCATATTTCTGTAACCCTGTAACGTGTCAGATGAGTCAGTCCCCACTAAATGAGATACAACCAAAGGAAGCTGAGCCTGCTTAATTCAGCTTCCAAAAAACACACAGAAGACTAAAGGCAGAATGGTTTTCTGAAGGGGAAAAAAATCTTCACTGCTATGCTTTACTGAATCCTGCCCTTTCTGACAAGTGAAGCTCACACTGTTTGTAATATCAGAACAGACGAAGTATAGCTCTTCCTGTCCCATCCCCTTGGAGACCACAAAAAACCCCACAAACCCCACTATGAGTTGCTCAGTAACTTCTTTTATATGGTTCAGGAGCACCTGGTGGCCAGTCACTGACTAAAGATCATTAGCGGGTACTTTTTCACCTGTTCCTCTTGCATGTCCTGAAAATTTCAGCTTGTCCAATTACAACATTCTTACCTATCCCCTACAGGCAGAGCATAATGCAACACCCCCTTCCATTGGGGAATTAACCCTTGAGTCACTAGTTTTTTCAGGCTATGTCTTGGAAAGCACTAGATTACTAATAAAATGATATTTCCTTCAATTTTTGTTCAGATTGCATTAACCTCCCATGTGATCAACATGGCTCCCTTTCCTAGTGGAAAGAAGACATGCAGGGGAGAGAGGGCAAGCAAGAATATGGGAGAGGGGAAGGCCACAGAAAAAAACCTAATAAATAATCTTCACCTCCAAGAGGCAAAATTCCAGGTGTCTTCTGAAAACAACCTTCCAAGAATGAACTCAGCTATTTTGCGGTATATTGTTTTGAAAGAAAGGGCAATTTCTGGGAAATAGGTAAATGCAGGGAATTTGGGGAAAGGCACTGGAAATAGTGTGTATGTGTGGGCCAGAGAGAGAGAGAGTGACTGTATAGCCCAGTGGTTAGGGCACTCATGTAGGCTGGGGAGAGTCAGATTCCTGCTCTAATAAGTATTTAATTATTTAGACCAAGTGGAACAACTTCAACAGGAGAAATTGAGACAGTCTCTCCCCACAGTAGCCTGTAGCCCAGTGGTTAGAACACTCCCCAGGGGCATAAAAGACCTGGGTTCAAGTGCTTGCTTCAAATCAGGCACAGTGGGGATTTGAACCTAGGAGGAGCAAAGAGGAGTGTAGAAGGGGACAAGCTTGAGATGAAGTGGGAGTGAAATTTTTCTAGGGTCTTGAACACAAAGGGGCCTTGAATTTGATGTGGTAAAAATACCCCAGGAGGCTAATAAAGGGATTCAAGGAGAGTCTTGATGTCACTGGAGAGACAGCGCAGAAGATGACTGCAGTGGTGTCCTGTATAGAAAGGAAGTTGGGAGAAGAGGGGAGGAAATTATAGCAATCAAGAGGTGGCGAGAGCATGGGCAAAGGGTTTAGCAGCTGCAATACAGAGATGAAGATGGATGTAGCTGACATTATACAGGTTGAAACAGCAGCAAATAGATCAAATCTTCCAAAGACCCTGTGTGAAAGGGAAACAATGAGGCAAAGCAAAATACAGCAGCATTAGCCTCTTCTTTAGTCGCTATTCACCCGTTTCATTCTGAGAAGAGAGTTCATTTACTACATTCACCAGTATCTGCTCAAGGGATGAAAGTAATGTTTCTTTAAGAAGGCTTTGTGGGCATGTAGGTAGCATCAGTGCACTGCTCCCCTTGAAAAGGAAGGATTTAGTGAATAGCACAGAGGCAAATCCTGTGTAGGCTTAATCTTCCAGTTTTTTGCTCCCCCCCCCCCTCCCCGTTCCAGGGAACAGGAAAGAAAATAAATACATACTTGCTTGAGGCAGGAATGCCACTTCTTGAGCCAATTCCTTTCTTATTGTCCTCAATATTCATCCAAGCTGTTTATGTTGATGAAGAAGTTGGATAAAATGGTCAAGGGATTTAGACAAGAGAAAACCTGCTTAACACATAATTTTATACTGCATAATGTTTTTCCATAATCACTGTGCTACAGGGGGAAAAAGGGTTGAGATGGCATCTATGAATCATAACCACTGTACAGCAAAACCTACATGTTCACAGGGCTTGGAGTTTTGAAATTGTTGACTCCAGCTCTAATTCCCCCCCACTCCTTTGTCAAAAAGATATATATCTGGATCTGGTACTCATGAAAGGGGCCAGACTAACAGGGAGGAGAGCAAAGTCCTTCATTTATCTACAGGACAGGAACAACACAGGCAGCAGCAATAAAAGCTTCCCTCACTGCCTTGCCAATATGCTCCAAGCTCCAAGTGAAGGAATAACCTGTTGTGGTCATAGGATAGTTCTCTATGATGGTCCGTGGCCTCTGTGCTGAGACGGTAAAGGCGATAATAAGTGCCAGTTGCTGCGGTGGTATCTTGTAAAGAGAACAGTTGTGCACTGGGAAAGAGATTGCTATTTAAGCTGCAAAATGTAACCTCTTTATAGCACTTGCTATACAAGTCTCCAAGCATCTTTATTTTTATGAAATATGCGACAATTATTTTATGGAAAGGAAATGCGTGAGGGAAGAAAATGGCAGAGACATGCTAGAAACAAAAACATTTGTGTTACCAATATTTTTTGCAGTAGTTTTTTTTTTAAATGCCAAACACGGTGACATTATGTTCACATCAAGCCTGTGCTGTAAAATTGTACTTGTTCGAGTATTTCATTTGGCAGGAGTGCAGAGGAGGTGATACTGAGCCAAGAAATATTTTTCTCCTTTATAAAATAGAGAGCTCACGAATAAGTGCTGTGGCAGTCTGTTCATTCTGCTATAGTCACTATGTGAGAGACTGCCAGTGTTTCCAATATAAACCCCTATTTTTCAGATGGTTTTATCTTAGCTATGGGCATTTTATTAGGGTTGCTTAGGTATTTTTAAAAAAATGGTCATTTTCTAGTTGTATGAATCCAAGACTAAACCCCCTGAGGATACAGCCGTGCTTCCAGTAGTGCACTGCTACCCACAGGTTTTGTGGACTAGACTAGTGTCTGTGTGTGTAGTTAAACCTAATCACAAATCTGGAGGTGAATCTTGATCCACGCTACTTAGATTGTAATTTCTCTGGGGCAGGAGCCATCTTTTTTGTTCTGCATTTGTACAGCACCTAGCACAATGAGGCTCACTAGGGCTCTTAAGCACTATGGTAATACAAATAAATAAATAATAGCTTTCAGAACATGTGACAAATAACTTGTGAAACCCCAGGATAGATCAATGTATCACATGTCTTTGACTGCCTTACCTGCTCTCTGTACATTAATCCATTTCATATACCTGAGCAGCTTCGTGGTTGCCTTTCTTTCCAGAATGGGAAAGATTCAGTCTTGGATACAGTGATAGCTTTTGAGTATAAAGCAGTGACACTAACTTTGAAGTCTGATATCCTGCGGTGCTGCAAGGCTAGTAATGTTTATACAGTCTGACACTCCTGCATTCTAACGGGACACACAACACAAATGGTAGCTGCTTAGCAGGGGGACTTCCTGCAAGCACCAGGGAGTCTCTACTCCTGCTTTGCTTCCTACCCAGATCCTACCAGTGTACTCTAGCTGTCTAGCAAGGGCCCTGCTGCAAGCTTTACCTTCACAACATTTTTCTCACACTGGGGTTTTGTTTTGTAATCTAGCCGATCTGCCATTCACCCATGGCTAGCCCTCTCTCCATCTCCACGGACACCTCTACACCTCTTGTACCACTATTCCTAACCTTACACTATCCTTTTCCTTCCCCCCCATCTCCCTTCCCTTGCTATCTCTGAAACACCCACTCCATCTCTAATAAGACCACAGCCATGCATGACCCCTCATATCTCACTCTACAGAGCTCCTAGCCCTCACAGAAGTCTGGATCCCTTTATCTGACACTGCCTCTGCAGCTGCCCTCTCTTACGATGGGCTCTCCTCTCATATCCCCCACCTTGGATCAGACCATGGTGAGGTCATTGGGCTTCTCCTCTCCTGTTCCTGGCTCTTCCAACCCCTCCTTCCTTCCCCCTCTTTGTAACAGCATTGCACCTGACTCATCTCTTTTCTCCTCTCCTTTTCCCCTCCATGTTGCTGTCTACTATCAACCCAACTTCTCCCCATCAGCTTTCTTTTCTGATTTTGACTCCTGTTTCTCTCTCTTCCGCTCCTCACAATCTCCCACACTTGTCCTCAGTGATTTCAGCTTCCATGTTGATGACCCATCTCACCTGCACATTTCCTCTCCCTTTCTCCAATAGGGCTGTTCACTTGATTTGGTCTTGGCCAAGCACTGCTTTTCCTAATCTGTGTTGCTGAGTTCCCCCTCTCTGCCCATCACCTGGTCTCTGCCAGCATCACCCATCAGCTTCCTTTTTCGTGCCCTGTCACTCAGTCTTTTTGTAACTTTCAATCCCTCAGCCTTCATCTACTCTCAGCTCTCTCTTCCCTTTCTTTCACTGACATAGTTGTTGATTCTTTCTATGCTTTACTCTCCCCCACCCTTGACTCTTTTTCTCCTCTCTCTCACTTGGAAGATCCTCTCTGATGACTCCCAGCCCTGGCTCATGCCCAACATTTGTTTTGCTCCTGCTCACATGCTGCAGAGCATCTCTGCTGAAAATCCCATGACCAGGTTGACTCCCTCCACTACAGATTTGTTCTCTTCCCTTTCACTTGTGACAACTTCCTTGCTAAACAATTCTACTTCTCCAACTTAATTGAACCCCATGTCTTCAGTCCCAGACAACCCTTTGCCTCCTCAAATCCTCCCCTTTTCCAGCCTCCATTTCTCTCTCCACACAGGACCTTACCAATTTCTTCCAAGAGAAAAATTGACATAATACTTTATCTTCCCCCTCCCTTGGCTCTTCCTTCAGCTCTGTCCTTCTTCTCCCCTGTCACAGACACAGAATTTTGCCTTCTTTCCTCCTCTAACCCCTCTCACCCCATCCCATCCCATCCTCACATTTACTTTGCACCCACTATTATCCCTCTGCTTTACTCTTCTCAACTCTCACTTTTCTCTGGCTTTCCACCCCCCACCCCCCACAATACAAACATGATTTAGTCTCTTCCATCTTAAAGAAACCCATTCTTGACCTCACTTGCTTCTTCAACTACTGCTCCATCTCCATTCTCCTTTTCATCTCTGAGATCATTGCCCTGTTCAGAATCACTGTCTGGAATTCCTCTCCTCCAATACCATTCTAGACTCTCCCCAACCCAGCTTCTGCCCCTTGCATTCCACTGAAACCAATCGTACAAAGTCTCTAATGACTTCTTCCTAGCCCAAGTTCAGAACTAGTTCTCCCTCCTCATCCTCACTGAAACGTCACACTGCCTTCGACACAATGACCTTTTTCTTTTTCTTGAAACCTGCTACTCCCTTGGCTTCCATATCTGTATCTTCTCTTGGTTCTCCTGCTATCTCTGTAATCGCTCCTTCAGCATGTCCTTTGGAAGATCCCCTTCTCTTTTCCCTCTATACCTCATCACTACACAATCTCATCCAGAAACACAAATCTAACTGCCATTGCTATGCTGATGACTCTCAGATCTTCCTCTCTACTCCTGACCTGTCTCCTGTCTAAACTAACGTCTCAGCCTGTCTCTCTGACATCTTCTTGTGGATGTCTAGCCCTCAGCTAATGCTCAACATAGCTAAAACAGAGCTCTTAATTTCCCCCCAAGCTCTCCCTGCTACCTCCTTTCTTGATCACTGTGCACAACACCACCATCCTGACTGTCATTCAGGTATATTCCGGGCATCATCTTCAACATGGACCTCTCTCTAGGTTCATACATCCAGGCTATATTTAAATCTTTCCAATTCTTTCTGTATAACATCTCCAAGATACAGCCTTTCCTATCCATCTACACAGCTAAAACTCCCATCATCTTGACTTGCGCAACACCCTTCTCTCTGGCCTTGACAGTGCAATCTTGCCTCATTCATATACATTCATAATATCATGGCAAACATCGTTTTCCTACCTGCTGTGAAAATTGGGTTGTATGGAAGCCAGCTCACTGGTCACTTAGAACACCCAGGGCACTGGATGTGTTGAAGACAGAAGGGACAATTTATACCTGCTAGTAGCCTAATGAGTTAGTAATTAGCTTACCATCTGGATTCCCAGGAGGGAAAGTAGACAGTATAAAAAGCTCTCCCAGGGAGCAGAAAGGGGCTGCTTGTGATGTTGTATATGGTTGTATTGTATCTGGAGCTTAAGGAGGCGATGAACAATAAACACATGTGGTGAAGGTAACTTGGTGTATCTGTGTGCTGTTTAATTCACCAAGAGGGCTTACCAGCCAGGGGTTTCCTGGAGAGGAAGGGGGAGGTGTTCACACTGTCCTTTTGAACATACCACCATTCTCCTTGTATCCCTCCACTGGTTCCCCACTTCGTATCACATCAAACAAAAGGTGCTTGTCTTCAATTTTAAGGCCCTTTATTAATCTTTCCATTATGCTTAAAAAACTTCATAATGGTTAGGCCATTGGTCTGCTGAGAACACTAACTAGTGTGTAGATCAATACTGTCTCATTGTTTCCATGTACTGTATCCATTTGTTGTCTTTTGTTTGATACTTGGATAGTAAGCTGTCTAGGGCAGGGACTGACTTTTTGTTCTTTATCTGTACAGTGCCTGGCACAATGGGATCCTGGACCATGACTAGGCTCCTAGGCACCACGGGAATACAACAATACATAATAATAATTCTAGACTTGGAAGTTCCCAAGATGGTGACATTTTTGTACGTAGAAAACCTCTTTAGATCATTTTTAGAGGTTTTGCTAGCTCCATCTGAGCCTTGTTCCATTGGATTAAGGGTAACTAAGGCTTTTGGTTTTATAGTCAAAGGGATATGAATAATAGACTAAAAATTTTAAAACTCTCTGACATATCTAAAATGAACGTGGCCAATCCAGCACACATGATGATGGGGTGTGGTAGAAAGGTTAAACTGGCACTCACTTGGGATGAGCTATGTAACATGCTTGTGGCTTCATCACTCATGAGTAATGCACCCACCCCTCATGCTCATAAAAGAGTGAAATTCTGACTCTTTTGAAGTTAATGGTGGTTTTTGGTCGTTCTACTACCCCACACCATCATGTACTACCTCCGTGAAAATAACCAAATTACTTTACATAGAAATTCTGCCACTTTCCATTGTCAACAGTTATTTCACAAAAATGCCAGAAGTATTCCATCACCCAGGTTTCCATATGGGGTGTACACAATAGCACTGACCACAACACAGGGGTTTGATCTTGTGCTTCTTACTGGAAAAAAAAAAGGAAAATCCTGCCCCTGGAGATAATTCTCACCCCTACTCCATGCCCTTGATGTAATAAACACCTCGATACTGACATGAATAATCTGGCTGTCAGAGAGGCATGAAGTAAGACAATGGGTACATCTCCCTGCTCATTCATGTGGTTCGTTTTGCACCATTCACTGACCTCAATCTTCTAGTTTACTGCTTAGGAGGTAAACTGTTGAGCAGGCTGCCTGCATTGTGAATATGCCTTATACAGCACACATTAGTTACAAATCCCAACTGAGCCACACATACTCCACAAAGGAGCCCAGGATTGTTTATGATTGCTATTGTATTCATTATACCTATTTATAACTATCACCATAGTAACTGGGCATAGTTGACGTGGGTTTAAAGTTAGGCCAGTAAACATTTCCAAAGCAATGAGGGCAAGTTAGGTATGTGTGGGTATGTGTACATGTACACACGAGGGGGTCCACTGGTTTAGTCAGAGTACTCTACACTGTCAAGTCTGTTAACTACAGTACCAGGATCTAAGTGATTGTTCTGTGGAGAAGGTGCATTTCCCCCCTCTAATTTTAAATAAAGTCTGGCTCTTGCTTACATGCTCAGGAGCTGTTGTGAGTTCATTGTGTTCAAGGCATATTCAAGCAGGCCTGATTTTCAGAGATGCTGAGCACCTATAACTCCCACTGCAGTCACTGGGAACCAGAGGCATAGTGAGCGCCCTCCGACCGGAGGGGGCCCCGCAAGGAAGGGGGCCCCTAAAAGTGGCAAAATAAATACCGCATTCCAGTTTCTGCATTGTAAGGGGCCCCGCCCAGACATATGTTCGGAGGGGGCCACCGTTCGGAGGGGGCCACATTCTTTGTTGCTACGGCCCTGCTGGGAACTGCAAGTGCTCGGCACCTCTGAAAAATGTGCCCACTTCTATAGGAGTTAGGTATATGGGGAAGGACTGCAGGATCAGGTCCTTATTTACTAGAGCTGGGCAGAAAACGGTAATTCTGTTTCATGGAAGATTTTTAGATTTTGAAATTTGGTTTCAGTTCAGAATGAAAACTAAGTTTCCAAATTCTTTGTGAAATGTAATTACTATTCTCCATCCATCACTACTGGCAGCCCCAGCAGGCTTCCCCAGAGCCAAGGACTTCGCAAGGATCTGGGAGCTCAGGCTGATGAGGAGCCATGAATCAGGTAACCAGGGGCTCTGAAGCTCTCAGCTCCCTGTCATCCTGCCAGGCAGGCTATGGAGGAGTCAGGAGGACAAGCTGGCAGGAAACCAGGCATGTTTCAAAAACTACTTGGCAGGCAGGGTTCCATCAGAAACCTGCCTGGTTTCATTGGAATTTCATTGAAATTGACATGGTCCTGTAAAGCATTTTGATTTTGACAAATCAGAACATTCTGACAAAAATGTGTCCTAGAAATTTCATGGGACAGTGCTAATATTTACAATTTTGGGGGCATTGGGCCTGACACTTCAAGACTCATTGGTTTGCATTGCATGCTTAATGATACTTACCTTTAGCTCCTTCTGTGTGAGATTTAAACACCTTTGCAGTTTTCCAGATATTTTGTACGGAAGATTACAGCACCTGAGCAATAAAATCACAGTAATAGTTTCTCACTGGCCTAGAAGAAACACATTACTGTTAAAAAAACAAAAGTAACAGTTAAACTGCTTCTATCCTATCTAGCAACACAGGCTCATTATAAATAAAGACAAAAAAGTGCAACATAAAATAGCCCCCAAACATTTATTCTTTTAAAATTGATTTTAAGTCTGTTTCTAAAATTGTTGACAAATCTAATAAAATTAAATTAAATGAAAAGAAATGTCAAGAAGGAAACAAATTTAAAAGTTAACAAAGCCCAACATAAATTTGCAATTGCATGTCCATTAAAGGTCTTAAATAGGGTTAATTTTAGCATGGAAAGAATTAACACTATTGGAGCTTTAGCAAGAGCAATTATTATCATTGCAAATTACTTAAACTATTAAACTGAGAATAATTCAGAAATATCATTAGCAGTCAAATTACTTAAAAATCCTTGTTTTCCTTCTCCTTTGTTTAATTTAAACTTAATGTCTGCTTATTCTCACACAACCAGAAAATGCTGATAAATAATTCCAGAGCATGCCTAAACATCTCCCTTCACAGCAAGCTTCTAATTTGATCTCGGGAGACCCTTTCTTGGTAGCTGAATAAAATATTTTCATTTATTCTAGGAGAGGCTACATCACCATTCGTTTCTAATCTCATGTTGCTTGGTAATGCCGCTAGATGAGGTCCTTAGCAAATCATTAAACTTGTTCAATAACAATGTTACAAAACACAAGAGATTTGTCGTTAGTGAAACAAAGAAAATTTTCAAATGGGGGATAGGTGGGGGGGAGCCTTTAATAAGCTAACTTGAGTTTCTAGGGCAGTTTCAGAGATTATTTAACATTTTAAACTTTCTAGCATGCACAGTGCAGGAACAAAGACTTCAGTGCATATGTCAGAATAGTTTGAAAGGGCCATACTTTCATATTATGGAAGAATACATTGCTTTGCTGCTAGAATCAAGTGTCAGCTCGCTGTGCCATTACATGTTCCCTGCATTTGAACAAAATGTGGCCTTTTGAAATATTCAAAAATTTAATTTAGCAATATTCATCTTTTAATAAATATCTATATTACCTAATGATCAGATAAAGTAAATGACTTTGCCATGAGATTCATGAATCATCAAGACCAGATTTGATGAGAGGAAATTAAACACTTGATACAATTAATCTTTCTTATTAGGCTAGAAATTCACGATTTGCACTCCTAATAAATATGATGTTAGATTGCACATGAATTAATCACGTGAGATTAGTATCTTTTATATAGCAAATAATATTGGACTTAATTGACCCAGACTCTGGCTTTTCTGCTCTAGCAGGGGGTAGGAGGTTGTGGAAGTGGAACACTGTCCTAGGGAATGAAAGACTCACATTGCTCGACACTCATCATTCTTGTTTTGTTGGTTGATCACATTTCTTCTATATCTATCGAACAGTTTGCTCTCTGAAAAAAGTTTGTTGGGTCAGATGTTTAGGATCAAATCTAAGACCCCCTCATGCAATAGTAGGTAACAAGACTGCAAAGAGGTGAAAACTGGAAGTAGGCACTTGCATTAATTCCAGTCTGCTAAGCATTTTAATACCTTTGAGTTCAGGAGAATGTTTAATTGAACCTTGCAATTTCTGCATTTCATAACACACTGGGAAAGGAGAGCTTCATTTGAGGTTTTCAGTATTTCATATACTAACTTTCTTGCTATAAAATAATGTTTTTCACATTTGTACTCAAGCAAAGAATGCAGCTGATTAGAAATTTTCTTGCTGCTGCAAATCCATCTTCTGCACTGATAGTCTTAATCTTGAGCCATTCTTCCTAGAGAGTCTTTGCCCTGAGCACTTCTTGTCTCTCCACCACTCAGCATGCAATTCCTGAAAGATCTTAAACTGCATTAAAGAAAATGGTCAGCAAAGATGTAGCTCATATAAAGGAGATCTTCTGCTAGGGTGAGCGGGTGTTATTAGCCCATACTCTGCAATCATCTCAATAATTACCATATGAATCTGGAGAGTAGCTGACATGCCATGTATGTATTTGGAGTTTTCTGCTAAGCAGGCAATGCAGCTTTTGTGGCTATTTTTACACTGAATATTGAAACCAAATTTATTAGGTGATCATATATAAATAGTGAAACACATACCTGGCTGATTACTGTATAAAATATTATTTGATTAATTTTTCCATTGTTTGCTGAATAACATATTCAATGGATAGTATGATGGGGTATACAAACTCCACATGGGGCAACACGGTTATTGTGAGCTCAGCCAGCCCCACCTCACCTGTGAGAAACATCAGACCTGAGTGAGGAGCTTAAAAAGGGAAAACATCTCACAGTTGGAGCCCAACCAAAGAGGAGAGCACCCCACTAGTCTTCAGCTGCTGGAGAGATGGATGGCTGAAGGCAAGAGATCCTTGGATGACTTCTGCCTGACAGCACCTCCCTGAAGGAAGGGAGGGCCCTTACCTTTATTGGGACTATTTTTTTTATATTAGCCTGTGAGCCCAGTTGGGGCCACAATTTAACAGAAGTCCTCTGAAGAAAGAGATCCTTAGCTCATGCAAAGGACAATTAATTTGTGTTCATTTCTTTTTTATATTTGTTGGCAAACCAGGGATGGGTTGACTGTTCAGGGCTCAGCCAGAGGGCTGAACCTTTTGCAACTGGACAGACATGGTGGAACACCCAGATATTGTACAACAGAGGCTTGGGTGAGTGCAGGATCTAGGGGATAAACCTGTGGAAGGAATGTGGTGACATGTATTCAACTAGCTTGTGTGTGTCTGTGTGCATGCACGCATGTGTTCATTTGAGCGATGCTTTCATTTTGAAGGCAAATATCACCCCAGGCTGTTGTCTCATCAGATTTTACAAGCCAAGCATAGTTGAATCTGGTCAGTAGTGGGTGACTTCCAAGGAAAACCTAATATGCTGCAGCAGGTGGCATTGGCAATTCATTAGTGTTGCTTCTTCCTCAGAGTCAGAAATCAACTAATGTAGCAGGATAGTGCTAAGGGACACATTGTTATTGAAAGTACTGATGTGAGGATGAAACATAAAATGGAAGCCCTGATAAGTTGTAGTAATTAAAGACTGTATTGCACATTTTACCATCCCAGCCTGGGTAATTACAGTCTTACCTACTGAAATGAAATCCCTGTTTCATCAATTGGATAAGGTTTCTTCTTCTACTCTCTTGTGTACTGTTGCTGATGCAATTATCTGAGTGCCACAACCCACTCCATGTCCATTTCAGTGGTTGTGAAGAAATGTTATTCTCCTATTTAATCATTGCAATTCTGTAAATGATTTGAAGCTTGTGAAAGGTGCAATATACACCATTACATTATAATCATTGCATTTCAAAATTTTCAAGTGAAGCAGGTGTCAAAGCTTTTTTTGCCAAGTAGGCAGATAATGGAATATTAGGATTGCCATTGGGCAGTTATATAGGACAGTGCTGATTTCACACAGGTCATCCCACATCCTGCCATGAGGCATGCTACAAGTCCTGCTCTCTTCAGCATTTATAAATCACAGAAATCATAAATTGTCGGAGCAGATTTGATTATCTGATATATTTTTTTAATTGAACGGGTAACAGAACTGATTCACTGCAATGTGTCCCTTGCACAGAAGACATATGGAACTACCTTAGTTTTGATCAAGAGAGTCTACAGATAGATGGTATAGCCACAATTATTTGTGATTACAATGTACCAGAGAGAGAGAGAGATCTGCTCAAGATAGTGATAATTGAAATCATATTTCCCTTTGAAATGTACATGCAAGTCTTTGAAGCTCCTATACTACTAACTGCACACTGATTGTTACTGTCATCTGCCAGAAGTGTCTCTTCTTGTTTTACTCAAACAATTAACTAGGTTTCATTCTTAGGATCTTGGATTATCACCTGTCTCCCCACCCCTTCTGAAAAAATGGAGGGAGCAAATGTGTAAGGAAAAATAGTATTCTGTATACTTCCGTGGCTAATCAACTGCGAGAAGCATCTCTGCACAAATTACTTTTATTATTGTGGTAGCACCAAGGAGTCATGAACAGAACTCAGTTGTGCTGGGCACTTTACAAAACAGATAACAAAAAGATTGATCCTGTCCCAAGAAGCTTACAATATAAGACAGGAGACAACAGGTAGATACAGACTGAAGGGGGAACACAAGGAAACAATGAGACTAGACTGGCCAACATGACAGGCAATGCTCCATGGACACCAGCTGTCTAACTGTTGTCAAGTTTTTTTGTAGGCATCACAACAAAGGAAATTTTGAAGGAGGAACTTGAACATGGCTTTGCAGCTGTTGGGACATCCTGCCTTGGGAGCTCCAGTACAGTTCTGGGGCCTGGCTGGACTTTGGAGAAGTCTCTACACATGGCAGACATGAAAACTCCAGAGCAAGTTGCTTTTACAACACAGCATTTCTCCACCATAGGATTTTCAGGTTTGGTACTTGGTTTTCCTGCAAATTACTGACCTACTACCAATTCATCTTTCAGGAGGCCACTAATAATACATCTCCAGGGGGAACAACTGATGCAAGTACATCATTTTTTTGTATAATATTTTGTGGGAGTTTTTTTTTTCCAGGGGAAAGGAAGATCTGTGCCCTAGTGTTTAGGACCTTTGATTTTAGTCTGAATCTGAGGGCATAATTTGTCCATTAATGGAAACACATTGTACCCTGTAACTTTTGAAGATAACTGACACCAAGAGCGCAACCAGTGGTATACTGAATGGGACTTGCACACTGGTCATTGTGTTCCTTGTACTTTGTTTGATATAGCTATAAGAGTATGTGGAGATGGAATTTATTGAGCTGCTAATACCCTTTTCTTTGTGAACTGATTAGCTATGTCCTTTCTGGTTTCTTTTATATGTAAAGAGTAATCTGAAACTGCTTTACAGCAGTTCTGCTCTTTATAGAGCCATTACTATCTACTATTTAAAATAAACCTGGCTAGTTAAGCTTTAGTTCAGGCCCACGTATCTTTTACACTCTCTTTTAAATTAAAGCAAATCCTGAGAAGTAAAAGTGATGAGGGCATATAGATGGAGATTCCCTGTAGTCAACCTGGCAGTTCTGCTGAGCTTTAGCTACAAGGCATATTACAACACTTTGGGTGGGTTCTTTTTTGAGACACTGCTTATAACACTGCCTGCCAAACAGAAGTTTCAGACAAGGGGGTGGGCACCTAGCAACTTTCATCTTGGAGGTGCGAATGCAGAGGCTGCTAATTAGTGAATACTTTGTATCAACTACATGTAGAATTCCATATCTTGCAGTTTGAAAAGTGTACATTTCCTTTGTGCCAAATTGGACTCCATATGAGCATTGGGTAGATCCAATTAATGTCATATAACCTTGCATATTGTTTTTGTACATACTATAGCATGATATGCTTAAATTAGGCCTCTTTTTCAGGAGATGTGCTCAAGTTTAAATGGGGGTGAGATAACCCACATGCTTTTCATCTGAACCAGATTGAAGCCTTATTTTATTCTAAACTAGATTATTCAATAAAGATATCACATGACCTCAGCTGGCTTCTTACCTCCTTTATGATTCACACATTCCCCTCCAATCTCAGTCACCTCTGGTTCCCTCTGCTCACTGCCTAGCTGTGACAGCTTTCTGGCTACCTGCTACCTTAAAATGCCTTGTGAGGTTCACTTGCTTCATTGCAATGAAATGGCCTTAGATATGCCATTTCAGCTGAAGGTGAAGTAGATGAGCTGCTCCTAAAAAGCTCAGATAAGCACTCAACTTCTTGACTTTTAGCTGAAGTAAACTACACACCCAAATATTGTGAGGTTCTCATTACTAGTCACAGGTGAAGGGAATTGTTGTTGTTTTTTTTATGAAAAGACAGGCATCACCAGGCAGAGATTAAGACATTCAGTTCATCAGTCAGAAAACATCAAACATTATGGTGCCAGCAAGGGTGCAGATGCTCAGTTTCTAAAGGAGACATGATAGAATAACTTCAGCAAACTTGGGATGAAAGCTGGTAGCAAAGTGGATTGATGTGAACAGGTTAATCACATGCAGAGATTTTGGTTCAGATTTGGAGGGTTACTAATTGTTTAAGGAATGCTATGTACATACAGAGATTTACAGACACTCGTGCATGGTATCTACCCAAAGGCACTGTTACTCTTATTCAGACAGACAAATATGATACATAGGAAAACAGTGCAGACAGAATATAGCAAGGGAATGTAATATTAGAAGGCTTCATAAAACAATAGGATTTCAGCAAGGAGAGAGGGGACACTTGGAAATGAAGAGGAAAACTGTTGCAAACATTATGTGTGGTATGAAATAAGGCACAAAGATGAGTGTGGGAAGGAGAATGAGAGAGTATTAGAGAGGACTTGGAGGATTACAGGAAGTGCGCAAGAGAAAGTCGTAGGAAGCTAAGAGAGATATGG